GTGGATCGACCACGACGTGGTGCTGACTCCTCAGAGCCCCAGTACGGCTGCTTTCAGGACCGGAGCTGACTGCACACACACCTGCAGCCGGGACACGCCCTGCTTCCCCATACAGGTGCACACCAACTATCAGCTGATTCTCATTTGGAGAAACAGAAAGAAGTAAAGTGATTGTTTTACTAAACCATGCAGAGCCTTAGAAGTTAAGACCAATCGTTTAAAATCAATTCTAAAACACAGCCTGCAAATGAAAAGAAGCTGAATTAGCAGATATGATCGTGTAAATGTGATTTTGTTCAAATAAAAATAAAGGATACAAAATAAAGATAACATAAAATAGGTAAACATACTAAAATACGATAAAAGTAAAAGTAGAGAGAAGTAGAAGAGACAATGAAACAATTGCAGGTGCAAAGTACAGATGTAAAATGATGAGTATCAAGAATTTAAAAAACTGCAAGTAATGTAGAAATAATTCAATGAACATATATTACTACATTACTATGAAAAAACATATATTCATTGATAATATAAATAAGTAAAACTTCTTTTTTTTTTCAGATCCCTCTGTCTGATCGCCGTAATGGCGTGCAGAAATGTATGCCTTTCTTTCGATCTGCTCCCAGCTGCAGCGCAGGAGTCCTCCCTCATCGCCACAGAGAGCAGCTGAACGCCATCACCTCCTTTGTCGATGCCAGCATGGTGTACGGCAGCTCCACCAGTGTGGCGTCGTCTCTGAGGAACAGCTCCTCTCCTCTGGGCTCCATGGCCCTCAACCCCCAGCACTCAGACCAGGGGCTGCCCTACATGCCCTTCCTGGCTCGACAGCAGGCGCACCTGGACCCCTGTGGTCCTCGGAACTCCACCGCCTCTGGGACATCGGACAGATTCACGCACCGGGTGAACTCCACGTCCTGCTTTCAAGCTGGTGAGTAAATGTAGAGATTCATCTGTCCTCCAAAGGCTTCAGTGGAGACGCTGTTCATCATTCACGTCTCTCAGGTGATTCAAGAGCCAACGAGCATCTGGGAATGATCGCGCTACACACGCTCTTTCTGAGAGAGCACAACCGGCTGGTCAAAGAGCTGCACCTGCTCAACCCTCACTGGAGCCCAGACACCCTGTATCAGGAGGCCCGCAAGATCATGGGAGCCATTCATCAGGTACAGTTTCAGCTAAATCCATTGAACATAAGAACTTCCAGCCCTCTGACCAGCCTCCTGGTTTTTCTTCCAGATCCTAACATGGGAGCACTACCTGCCACAGGTCCTGGGTGACATTACCATGTCCCGTCTGATGCCTCCTTATGAGGGTTATAATCCTGAAGTGGATCCCAGCATCGCAAACGTCTTTGCAGCTGCTGCATTTCGTTTTGCCCACGTCACGGTGCAGCCAGTAGTGAGCAGACTGGGGCCAGGATACACCACAAACTCCCAGCATCCCCCACTGCCTCTGCACCACTCTCTGTTTGCCTCTTGGAGGGTTGTGCAGGAAGGTAAAGAACGGAAATTGGATTCATTGTGTTTAGATCCTGTGTGGTTTACTCAGCAGCTCTGTCTCCTGGTGTTTCAGGTGGTATCGACCCTGTGCTGCGTGGCCTGTTGTTGTCTCCAGCCAAACTGCAGACTCCAGGTCAGATGATGGTGGAGGAGCTGACTGAGAGGCTGTTTCAGGCACAGGGAGGGATGCCCCTGGACCTTGGGGCCCTCAACCTCCAGAGGGGCCGAGACCACGGCTTACCAGGTACCTTCTGTAATCTGCCGCACAGCAGAGAGTCGCTTCATACTGAACGTCAGCTGCTGGCTGTCAATGAGGACTGTTACAACAGATATACTATGTTTATCTTATCATCTATGTCCAAGAAATGCTCAAATCAGTATTAATAAAGGATGGATTTACCTGGATTTGTTTAAACTGAACAAACTCAGTGGTGTTATAGATTTTATAAAAGAAACACAGTTATAGTAACTGTAAAATCATTTGATATATAAAACAAGAGAGTCATACCAGGTATGTAAAGGTATTAACCCCCCGAATGAGTTTTCCCTCAAGAGTGACCACCGAAGGGATGTTCTACTCTTTGAGTTATAAAAATAGCATGACCTTGGTCTTATCGGCTTAAAAGTTTCAGTTTTATTTCACCATCAGAAGTCGACATTGTTTTAAAAATGGTGCTCCTTACATTTAAATGCAGTTCTCTCACTGTCTCACTTCTTGTACTAGTCCTTTAAACTCTTTGTCTCACTTGTTCTCCTCAGGATACGGCTCGTGGAGAAGCTCCTGCAGCCTTTCTGTCCCCGACTCTACTGCAGAGTTGGCTGAAATCCTGGGAAACTTCTCTTTGGCTCACAAACTCCAGCTCCTGTACGGGACGCCCCACAACGTCGACGTGTGGGTGGGCGCCATCTCCGAGCCCCCTCTGCCCGAAGGCCGAGTGGGGCCTCTCCTGGCCTGCCTGCTGGCCAGACAATTCAGAGCCCTGAGAGATGGAGACAGGTAATGCTGCTCATCATCTACTGATCAAACAACATGAGTTAACGCCATACACTAAAACAATCTGTCTTTGTCGTGTGAGGTTCTGGTGGGAGAAGGAGGGAGTGTTCACCAGCTCCCAGAGGAGACACCTCCATGCCGTCTCTCTGTCCCGCATCATTTGTGATAACAGCCACATCGCCCTCGTCCCTAAAGACCCGTTCTCACGCACTGAGAGTGCCGAGGATATGCTGGCCTGTTCCCACCCGCTCATCCCCCACCTCGATCTCAGCCCCTGGAAAGAACCAGACACAGGTGACGACACAGAAATATTTCGCTGGTGATATTCCACTTGTGCTATTTTTTCACTCTCTTCTCTCCCAGATCCCAGCTGTGGTCCGATACCCAGGATTCAATCTGGTTACTCCCTGCTCTGTGACTCAGTGATTCTGTATCAGTGTCACTCAGGCTTCAAGCTGCTGGGTCCTTCTTCTGTCAGCTGTGACACAAACAAGCACCAGTGGAGCCCTGCGCCTCCAACATGTCAAGGTACAATGACTAAACTGAGGCTGGTGACACGCCGACAGAAGAGATCACATTTTAAATCACCAATATAGTTTATGTGTCACACGTAACAAAACTGATGTTGATCTTGATGGTAACATTCCTTAATATAAAAAACTTAAAAATGTTGATTATTCTAAAATTCACATGGAAACAATCACCTGGCTAGGTCCATGTAGTGTCTGTTCTGGAGCTTTCAGTTGTATCACATGATTTTCCTAAGTTTTCACGTATGTCATGTTTTTTTTTTCATTTAAGTGTAACACATGGCATTGGAAGCATTAGTTAAATCAACAGTCTCCACTGTTTTTATTGAAAGTCAAGAGGGAACATGTAGTCTTGGCTTTGATGCTCAAATTAAGAACCTGTTCATGAAGCACTCATAAAGAAAGGGGATGAGTGATAATGACAAAAAAAAAGTTACATTTAAAAAGAAATTGTTAAATCTGTTTAGACAACAGCATTTTATGATACCAAAATATTTCAATATTATACAATTTTCATCAAATCAGTAATCGTGTTTCTTATTGATTTGTTTTTGACCAACACAGATATTAATGAGTGTGAAGAACAGATTTCTCCTTGTCCACAAAACTTGGAGTGTTTCAACAAACCAGGTTCCTTCATGTGCTCAGGTTGGTTCAGATGCTCCTTCAGTTTCTGCAGAGGTTTTGTGATAAATGTACCATCTTTAAAGAAGCACTTTTTTAACCTTTGTTTTGGAAATCATAATATAAGTAAATCTTAACTTACAACAACATATACAACATGTCAGAATCGGTCACTTCTGATACTGAACATTGCCGTGTGTGTGTGTGTGTGTGTGTGTGTGCACGTGTGTGTATGTGCAATGTTCCAGAGCCCTCCTCACTCTCTGTCATCTCTGTGGTCACTGCGGTGATAGTAGTGATCGGTGGTGTGGCCGTGCTGGTGATGATAATGATCTGTTATCAAAGGTAAGGCACTGAAAGATCTATTTTGTACAAATATTATTAGAAGTCATATTGATGGGAGCATTGATTCAGTGAGTGTGCACCTTATTCTCTTGATGTTATATATGAATGATTATTTAAGTCAGTGTTCGCAACGCTCGTTAAATTTATATTGTGGGGGGAAAAAATGTTATCCTGACAGATAACAAAACAGAGCAGCAGTGTCAAAGTGAAATATGAACAACATGTGTTTGACTCTTTCTTGCAGATATTTCCCCAAGAAACAGGAGTTGGTCGCTGCAGCGTGTTGCCAAGGGAACAGTTAATCATACCTTGTTGAGAGTTTGGTTCTTTTTTTTACATGTTAAAGTTATTGTGATGGCCTCAATGTATTTAACTTTAAATAGTTATTTGTGGGTTCAGTTTATGAATGTATGTGTTTATAACATTAAAAACATTTTGTCTTGTTAATTTATAAACTCACTTAAGATGAACAAATCAAAGTTTTAAATAAACTGACAAAACATTTACTCAAGTACCACATTGACTTTTCTACTTGAGTAAAAGTAAGTACTTGCTTTAAATAAACATTTCAAAAAAGGTGCTTAAGTTCAGTAACTACATAAATGTACTTTGTTGCAACCACTGTCCACTGACTTCACTATAAGTCACTCTGAGCTTCACATCAGTAAGACTCTTAACTAGGTTCTGATGAAATCTGTGTGATGAGGCCAGGAAAACAGAATAACAAGCTTATAAAAGTCTTTTTCAATCCCGAAATCCCAAAATTTAAATCTGTCAGGAATGTCTGCACCAAAAACAGATTTGTGTGAGCGGGATACAGTCTCAGCGTTTCCTCTGTATCCATGTCCCCGATTCCTGCTTATAAACTTGTTGGTCAACTGTGGGTGTGTGTCTGGGCGTATGAGCTTAATTTAAAACCAAACCAATGACGTGCTGAGAAAAAACAGGTCTCTGTGTCATGTATTGTGTTGTAAGAATGAATGAACTATACAAAGATGAGTCATGACCTGAAACCAAAGTCAAACTGATCCATTTTACTGCCATCAGACTTTATACAAACAAAAGCTGTAAATCACACATGGTACAAAGGTGACACTGCCTTTGTTTTTACACCCGAGAACACAGGTAATGACCAGGATAAGATAAGCAGTTATTGCACTTTCTGACACAACATTCTTCATTTCTTACCTTAAACAGATTGTCTTCTGTAAAAACTGATCTAAATCTTTACTACAAGGTAAAACCAATATACAATGTAATTATGCATAATATGGCTATGTGCTGCACTCATGCAAAGTCCTTTATGGCTTATAGTTAATGTAGATACAGTTCATTGTAGACATGCAAAGCTACTGTTCCAACAGTTGAACATGTTGAGATAAAATGTATTAAAGCTTGTTTATTGTCTGTTTATATATCGTAAAGCTGTCTCTATGTTGAATGGTATAATAATTAATTAATAATATAAATGATTATTTGGTTCAGCCTAATGGGAAACGGATTTTCAAGTGTTTTTTTTAAAGAAGGCCTCTAAAACAAGTAATGTAGTGAGAGTGCATTAACATCCCAAGATAAAACATCTCGTTTGTGGTGTTTAACTTCATAACTGAAGAAACTAGGAGAAGCTTAGGGAGCGTCACACTAATGTAAAAATAAAGCAAACAACCGAAATCATTGCTTTATGGAAACTACACAGATAATATCAACCTCACACATCTTACATGTGACATATAGTTGTCTAAGTCTGTAATACTTGAGGTAAGACACCGACTAAACCTTCTCGACTGCTTCCATCCTGTGCTCATCTTTCTAACAGAGTAATGCCAGAAACATGATACATACAATCTATTGTGTTCACAAGAGACGATGTGTTCACTCCACCTGGGAGGTTCAGAGCTTACATGATGAAAAAATAATAAACGGAAACTAATCCTGTGTCCTGCACTGTAATGGAGGAATATATTTTACATATCTGGAAGTAACACAATCCTATATCAAATTGTGCTAGTTTTATTTTTTTCTTGCTGTGCTGGTTTAATTAAAAATCTCTTATTGCATACGCAGAAGTGGCACTAGAGCATGCTCCGCCTCCCTTGTTGGTTGACCTCTGCTGCAGTGCGAACGCCTCATAAGCTCTGCTTCCAAAAAATGTACCAAGACCTTTTGTTACCACAGTTTAACTCAGACACATCTGAAAATTTAAAGTCCTTGGATCATGCAAGTTACATCGGGTGTTCCCATGTCCCGTCAGATCCTCTAACCCAGGTCAGTGAGGTAGAAACCTAACTTGGCCACAGTCATTTCTCTGCGGAAACGCATCACCTCCCAGAACATCTGCTCGGCTGGAAAACGAGACAACGACAAGTCAATCGGCTAAATCAAACAGGCCTGTAATTACATATTATTTCAAATGTAAACAGACATTAACTTACCATTGTGTCTCACCAGGCCCTGCTGGATGTAGCGGATATAAGTAAAAAAGTTGCAAACTGCTGTGATCTAGAGAGGAGAAATAGGGCAAGGTTACATGTAGGAACACTCAGCAGCGGAAGTCGAGGTGATAGAGAAGGGATAGTTACCCGTGCTCTGCTGGAAGGAGAGATGTAATAGTAGCTCCCCTTGTCGCCGAGTTTAATGCGATGTCGACAGAGCCGTGACACGCCACTTAATGCACATTTTCTACAAGTGGAGAAAGATCAGCTGTCAAGAGAATCACAGCTACAAGACACTGACACACACGGTCATAGCAAACACTTAACATTGCTCACAGAGAGACCACATTTTTAGAAGACAGCACAAATAAAGAGGTGCACAATCAAAGATAGTTAGTCACTGTGAAGAGTAAAAGGTTATAGGTCACATGTAAATTCAGACACGTGCACAACCCATCTGGGTCATTTATTTACAGATTGTGGACAAGCAGGTTTCATTACATGCTACAGTAGTTTGTTAGTGCAAAGCTCAACAGTTTATTACTTCTTTGGAGGACTTACGTCTCTATTGCTGCCCTAAACCCACTGGAAGAAAAGATGTTTAAGTCAGACAGTGATTAGAAATGTGCCCGAGGTAAGACAGTGAAAACCTTATAACCGTAAATCACAAGTGAAGAAATGAGAACAAAATCCAAGTGAATTTTAGAAATGAATTGGCCGTTGTTTAGCAGTGACTGGTGACACAGAGGAGAGGATGATAGTTAATGTGTAGCCGTGACAACTCACTTGGGGCCTCCACACTCTACAGCTGAGGCCTTTACCATCGGTAACGCTGACATGGCCACAGGCTCGATGGTCAGAGAGTTGTTTTCCACGGCACTCTGCACCAGCTGGGACAGCTGCGGAGAGCAGGAATTAACGTAACTTCTCACTGAAATGCAACAAATACAGCAACATAATATTTCTGCTGAGAAGCAGTGAGATTGTGACCTCAGATCTTGTGAAGGAGAGACAGGGTCTGATGTCTTCTCTGTAGATTCGTCCCAGGAAGGCGGAGGAGCGGTCGAAACTCGGATGTTCCTTCCACATCAAAAACTCTGCATAAAGAACTGAGTCCATCTGCAAACAAAAATGTTGTATGTGTCAACCACAGAATCTTCTAACTGACACGGCGAAGTCATATTTCAAAAAGATGATGCTCTGTACATTAATGCAGCAGCTAGCATGCTTATTAAGACAATGTTAAAATGCTGATGTTGACTAGTTGTGTTTTTCCCGAGTTCACAGCATGTTTGCAAGGAAGAATTAGCCATTTTAATATAAACAAGTCAATTTGAGGCAGATAAGAATATCATCACTTTGACAGATATTTATTCACAACCCCAAATACTGGAATACTGAAGTTAGACCTGATGATGGCACTAAAAAAATAAAGGGATAACCAAAGCTAATTGAAAACTTAAAGCGCACTGGAGAAAAATTCAACAAAACCTTTATGGACTCACCCTGTGGAAACCAGTTTATATGTAATATAAATGAGCTGCACTGACAGGATATAATGGACAAAGCACTTTACGATTTGTCTCTACGTTTACATGGACAGACAATATGGACCTTTTTCAAGACATCTTCTTGATTATGGTGTCTACATGAACTACTATTAGAGTAGGGCCTGTGTGTGTGTGCTGTCTGGGATCGGTGTCTTATTCAGACTATTCTCTTAATCAGGTCAATATCAGAATATTAATGTCCATGTAAACATAGTCAGTGATGGAGCTGTACGCAACTCAGGGTTCAGTGTCTTACTCAAGGACACTCCGACATTTGGACAAGAGTGGCACAGGATCAAACTGAATGCAGTTAGTGGACGCCCCCTCTGACCCATGAACCACAGGGCTGGTATTTGTACCAAATTCTATTGCAGTGTCAATGTGGTAGACTGATAAACTGACATTGTCCTCATCAGACGGATGGAGCTTGTCAAAAATGTAAAACACAGAGAGCGGGGTTCCTTATTTAGTTACTGAATAAGACATTATGAGGCTATGATTCTCTTTTGAACTTACATGTAGCAGGAATAATGTCGCTTTTCACATAATTAGTGGCTCAACTCATTGCAAGACACTGCACTGCCTTTTAAAGGAGATGAATGACCAATTAAAACATTAAAAACTTGTCTATGAAAAGTAAAAAAGGCTGACTCACTCTGTACATGAAAAACTTGCTCACTGACCTGTCAATTCAGATAATTACAGAATACAGATCCAGCAGCTAAAGCTAAAACTCCATGGAGTTTGACTGAAGGAATGCAGTTACCTGTCTGCTGTCAGTGTCTAAACCCTCTCCCCGCTGCTGCCAGTAAGAGTCATAGGTCATACTGACAGACTGTCCGGGAACCAGGCAGAGAATCAGAGAGAGGAGAGCAGGAACAGCAGGCTGAGAGAGGAAGAGACACCAGAGACATAGAGGAAGAACAAGTCAGACAGAGGTTAGTAGTGAGAGAAACAGAAAAGAAATAAAAAAGACCAAGATAAGAGATAAGGAAGCAAGAATAATTGATGGGAAAAGAGAACGCACAAGTCCAAAGATGCAGAAATGTATTTTAGCAGAAGAGAGGAAAGTGTATAACATTTCATAAAGGTCACCTCTTGGTCTTCTTTGGCCACAGGCTGAATGGAGACTGAAGAAGGTTCTGGTTTTCCAGATGAGGACGGAAAGGTACTGCTCGCACTCTTGTTGCGGACATGTCCCCCAACGTGTTTGTACGCCCCCCTGGTTCCCGAAGGCTGGAGCTGTGGATGCAGCTGGCGGTTCGGTGAGGAAGGTGTGGATGTCAACACCAGAGTCTTGAGCGCTGTCACCTCTGCTTGCAGGACGTCAATCTGGAAGTCAGACAAATATAGAGGGAAAAAAGGAAAAATGAAGATGAATATTTCTTAAAAACACCTCTGAGGCCTATTTAAAACAAATCAGAGTTGGATTCATGAGTAGTTTAGGAGCATCTGAGGAGTTTTTATGGGACAAAAGTTCAATTGATCAGACATCTCATTTTCAGGTTTTAACAGAAACAAAGAGAAACAAAACAAACCTTCCCTTGAGCCTCCTTGAGCTGTTTCTCTGCTGCTGCTTGTTTGACGTTTGCTTCATTCACCATCTTGTGAGCTTCCTGTAGAGAAGTAGATAACATCAACACAGGCTTAAAACAATGCAAGTTGAACATATTTGAAAAAACATCTGAGACATCTGGTTGTGAGGCTGTTGTTAAATTTTCACTCATGCTAAAAGGTAAATCAGTGAAATATTAAGATGCATTATTGAATCTTTTTGTTCGCCTGTGATTTGTTGGAGACCAAAAACTGAGATAAAAGCAGAGAGAATATTGAACACAATTTACCTGGTGGACTTGGCCACTGCCCCAGAGTAATGCATATTTAAAAGACTAAAATATTAATGCTAATGTTTTTACTACAATGCAAACTGTGAATATTAGGACTTGTGCAGCATCAAAGCATCACTCATCATCAGGTGAAAGTGCACTCAGCATGGAGCAATGATAACTGCTCACCTCAAATAGACTGGCTGTCAACTCCTCCAGCTCCTGCTCCAGCTGATTCCTGACCTGAGACAGACGCTCGCACTCCTTATCTTTCAGTTTCAGTTCCTGAAATTGTAGGAGAAAAGTGTCACAATCACATTTAACAGGGAAGAAGAATTGCATTGTCAACTCTTTTTTTTTCAGGTCAAACTATGCTTCTCTGTGTTTTTGTGTGTTAGAAATGAAGAAGGTTAAAACACCCTCTTTGCAGCATCCAGCTGTTCCCTGAGGATCTCCGAGCCCTTCTCTCTGATTTCTTTTTCTCTGATTTCCAGTGAGGAGCTGCGGAGCCGACAGAGGTGGTCATGGTCTCTGCCGGAGGTGGGCCCAGCCTGGCCTCCTCCCTCCACTCTGGACTCTGGCTCTGGATCCAGATCTACCAACCTGCACAACAAACAAAAAAAAATTATGGACATGATCTTTAGGTTCTCCATTTAATCTAACCCCAAACTACATGTCTCTGAACTGTGGGAGGAAGTCACCTGGAGGAAACCAACGCAGATACAGGGAGAACTTGTGCTAGCCACCGCGCGACCATGCCACAAATTGGCCATTATACATACACATATTTATTTATTTCTATATATTTTTTAAATAGCAATGATTCCTAAGATTGTATGCCAAAGAAATGTAATTGAGGTTTGATATTTTACAATTTAACCATAGCCACAGACACTGGTAAGTCTCTTTGAGGCTCATATCATATTTTACTTTATCGGCCAAGTGATATATTTATCGGTTGGACAGTAAATTTAATGATAATGACTGATTACTCCACAATCATTTTGTTTTTTAAGTCCAGCCCTGCTTGCAAGTGGCGTATCACATTGTGTTTGTGTATTAACTTCAAGATAACATTCAAATGCAGTGGTTATAGTTTATAGGTTTAAGATACAAGACACAGATTCCCCATAATCCTTCAAGTCAATGATTTACAGATGGACGGACACCATCAGTGGTGCATTGGATGTGGAACATGACACCATCATTTCATTTGTAAGACTGGATCTGTCATTAGCTCATATTGACTAATACATTGATTCAGATAAGTTATTGATCAAGATGTACCTTTAGTCCAGGGCTGCATTAGTCGTAGCTAGGTGTTCCTAATAAACTGACAACTGGGTGTATGTTATTATACTGTATGTAAAGGATTAAGATGCAGAAATGTCAGATCAGCACACGTTTCAAACATTAAGCTAAAGTACTGGATCACTGGAGTCACAGACCCCCGAGGGACCCCGGGCCACCGGTTGGGACCCTCTGCTACCATCTGGCAACACTTCATTTGAAAGACTTCAGCTTGTGACTCACTGCTCTTGTTGTCTGTGAAGTTTAAGGTGAAAACAAACGCTAACAAACATTTAGCAGCACTGTTAGCCTGCTAGTTGACGTTAGCCGCAACTTTTTTTTGTTTTTTTTTAAATACGGAGAGGTTTCCCCTCAGTGTCCGCCCTTACCCCGTCAGTGTCCGGACAGCAGACCGACACAGCTCCCCACTCAGCACGTGAGTGTCTCTGTGTCCTCTGTCCTCCAGCTGTCCTCCTCTGTGGCTAAATGATGGACAAACACTGGACAAAGTCTCTGGTTTCACTGAAACTAATCGGAGCTGTTTTAAATCTCAGCAGCCAGCGGAGGAATGCGGACGCTGACGTAGACACCGACAACAGCTTCGGTCACAAACACACGAACACGTTTGAAGCAAAGCTGCGAATGAAGAAGTCAGACAGACACCGAGGCTGATGCTGCTCCGGACATTAGTGTCATTGATTTACTCTCTGCTCCGCGTTGTTGTTCCATTGAACAGAGGGAGCGTCTCTGCGTCCGCCTCCACACACTGATCACATGACCGCGCATCCACTCCCAGAGGCCTGTCTATACCCTCACACCCTCATACTCAAATACTTATATACTTATATACTCATATAC